TTATTGGTGTCAAAAAGCAGCAGAAAAAGGTCAAATTGATGCAATGTGTAATTTAGCTGCATATTATAGGGATGGAGTAGAAACAGAAAAGAATTTAGAAAAAGCCCTTTATTGGTATCAAAAAGCAGCAGAAAAAGATCATACTATTGCAATGTTTAATTTAGCTAATTATTATTATAATGGAAAAGGAACAGAAAAGAATTTTAAAAAAGCTTTTTATTGGTATCAAAAAGCAGCGGAAAACGGTCAAATTCATGCAATGTATAATTTAGTTGCATATTATAGAAATGGAGAAGAAACTGAAAAGAATTTAGAAAAATCCTTTTATTGGTGTCAAAAAGCAGCAAAAAAAGGTCATATTGATGCAATATTTAATTTAGCTGCTTGTTATAGAAATGGAGAAGGAACAGAAAAGGACTTTGAAAAGGCTTTTTATTGGTGTCAAGAAGCAGCAGAAAAAGATCATATTATTGCAATGTTTAATTTAGCCAATCACTATTATAATGGAAAAGGAGCAGAAATGAATTTTGAAAAAGCCTTTTACTGGTGTCAAAAAGCAGCAGAAAAAGGTCAAATTGATGCAATGTATAATTTAGCTGTATATTATAGAAATGGAAAAGGAGCAGAAAAGAATTTTGAAAAAGCTTTTTATTGGTATCAAAAAGCAGCAAAAAAAGATCATATTATTGCAATGTTTAATTTAGCCAATCACTATCATAATGGAGAAGGAACAGAAAAGAATTTAGAAAAAGCCTTTCATTGGTATCAAAAAGCAGCTGAAACAGGTCAAATTGATGCAATGTATAAGTTAGCTATATATTATAGAAATGGAGAAGGAACAGAAAAGAATTTTGAAAAAGCCTTTCGTTGGTGTCAAAAAGCAGCAGAAAACGGTCAAATTGATGCAATGTGCAATTTAGCTAATTATTATTATAATGGAGAAGGAACAGAAAAGAATTTAGAAAGGGCCTTTTATTGGCATCAAAAAGCAGTAGAAAGCAATAAAATGAACCATAAAAATGGCGTTGAATTTTGTAATGAATGCAAGCAACCAAATAATAATTACCAATGGTGTCAACAATGTAATGCTAAGCAATTTCAACAAGATTTTTCAAAATGGACTAGTAAAAATGAATTTATTAATAAATTTATTCAAGAAGCACAACTAAATGCTAAAAATAGTTACGAAATTTTAGAGTGGATACCTTATAATGAATTGTCAAATATTAAGTATTATGACAAAGGAGGATTCTGTGAAATTCATAAAGCTATCTGGTCAGATGGACCTATTTTTAGTTGGAATTTTGACAAACAACAATGGAATAGACAAACATATTATGAGGTTATTCTTAAAAAACTTAATAATTCATCAAGTTTAAATAATGAATTTCTGAATGAGGTATAGTATTTATATTTAATAGCATATTTTAATTCTTTGTGCAAAAGATTAATAATTTTTTGTTATTTACATAGTGGAAATATCATTATAATTGTCAGAAAAAATCATTTTCAAAATTTATACAGTTCTTTGGATTTACCCAAGATCCAAATAATTTAAATTATTTAATAGTAATGAGTTATGCAAAAGAAGGAAGTTTGAGAAAATGTTTATCTGATATAATTAAATTCAAATGGCAAGATAAGTTACAATTATTGAAAAAAATTATATTAGGACTTAAAGTAATTCATGAATCAAATTTAACTCATGGTGACTTTCATGATGGTAATATTTTAATATCAGATAATTACAATGAATTATTTGTTATTGATTTAGGATTATGTAAACCTATAAGTGATTTACAAAATGCTGATAATGATAATAATGAAATTTATGGAGTTTTGCCTTATATGGCACCTGAAATATTAAGGAAAAAACCCTATACTTCAGCAAGTGATATTTATAGCTTTTCAATGATAATGTGGGAATTTACATCAGGCATCCCTCCATTTGACCATGAAGGACATGATCATGACCTTATCTTAAGTGTTTATAAAGGGAAACGTCCTAAAATTGTAGAAAATACTCCAAAATGTTATTCAGATTTAATGGAAAAATGTTGGGATTTAAATCCTTCCAATAGACCAACTATAATTATGCTTGAAAATATTATATCCGAATGGATTAAATATATTAATAGATATTATGAAGTAAATAGGGATGACAAGTATCAATATGAAATACCTGATATTGACAATCAGTTAAGAAATGATATGCTTGAATTTGTAGAAGCAAATAAATCATTAATGCAAAAACAAGCAAATACTTCTAGTATTACTCAATCTTATTCTAATTCACAAGCATATTATACTGAAACTTCAATTCAAGAAGGGTCTCAGGGGTTTGATTGTATGATTGATGATCATCATTAATTCAATTAATTATTCTTCATTTGTTGGATTATTTATCAATTATTACTGTATATAGAAATCATTAATTCATTATTATTAGCATATATTGATACAAGTATGATAATTATGTTTATTTAGAATATTTAAGTTTAATATCCAATTCCAAACTTCAAACATTAAAAAAATATTGCCCTAACCCTAGGGAGGAGATAGAAATATAGTCCAGCCTTAAAGAACAGAACCATTACATCTAATACCTGTCTTGAAATGATGGGTAATCATGATAGGACCCCGAGCAATACTGAAATAGGTAACAAGAAATAACGCGTAGAATAGGCTAAAATAATCATGAAAATCTTTCCTTTTTTAGATAAATTTTGATAACGTTGGTAAGAAATATATTACTTTATTTAGTAACTGACTGACATTATCATAATTCCGGCCCTGAAAAAATGCGTAGAGCTAATAGTAAATTTTTGCCAATTTCCTATGACCTATTTATATATTGTTCGGGGTCCTATCATGATTATTGATCAAGGTTTTTTGTATTCCTATTTTCTGAAAATAAATCAAAATATTATATTTAGTATTGGTTAAGTTGTAATATCATGAAATTATTAACTAACATACAAAACTTAAACAGGATATAAAAAATTTGTATTTTAGCTTATTTTAAGTTGGATACTATGACCCAAAATAATATATTATTATTCAAATGATCTTTTAATAGAGACTGTAAAAAATGTCCATTTATTTAAGAAATATAAAATTTAACACCAAGACAATAAATTTGGAACAATTTAATCTAAGGAAATAAAGTATAAACAGCTAAAAAACAACAATTTTTAGACGAAAATGCAAAATTTGTTTATTTCATGCAAAACGTCCTTCACAAAAATCACAACTATTTCCTTTTTAAATCATCTTCACATTCCTTTTTGAACCCCTGAAGTGTTCTTATGAAATTGTGGGTCGCATGCATACTGCGACCCTTAGTTGCCGTTTTCCTAGTTAGCGAAAAGGAACTGATGATTTACATAGAAAAGAAATCGAAGTGTGGAATATGTATTAAATAGGGTCTTGCACAAAATCCAACTCTCATTCTGGATCCTAAAACTTGGGCAGATGATGATTCCAAAATGATGAAAATTTTTTACAACACTGTTTGCTTTTAATTGAATTTTTTAGTTTATCTAGAAATTCTCGCAAAAAGTTCAACAATTATATTGAGTTTTGATGGTATCATGGGGGGGCAAATGAAAGATTTATTGAATTCTTATTTGGAACCGGTGTGTCAAAATATAATGTTTTATGTCCAAGAAAAATAAGAATATTAAGAATGATGAAATTAAGATTGTTGATTCCCAAATTATTGATACCCAAATTGTTGATTCTAATATTATTTCAACCATTTAATAATGGGTTTATAAAGTACTAGTTATAAATGATGATAATTATGAGGAATTATATTTACCATACAAATTTGAATTATTATTAAAAGGAGGATTTACTCCTAAAAAATTTCATGAATTATGTGGTGGCATAGCTAATACCGTTACATTTATTAAAGTAAAAGGAAACTAAGAAATTCTTGGTGGATATAATCCTATGAAGTGGGAAACTACTGACAAATGGTGTTATACTAATGAAAGTTTTATTTTTTCTTTTAAAAATAAGAATATTAAAGATGCAATTTTAAGTACTAATATATGAGATGCAGAATTTGTATTAGATTATAGTGATACGTGTGGTCCGCATTTCGGCCAAGGTCTTAAATAGAAATAATAATTTTTTATTGTATAGAAGTGAAGTATGAGAGAAATATAAGAGACACTGTAAATAAATTTTCAATAGAAGATTATTAAGTATTTCAAATAATAAGAAGCTAAATATAAATAATTTCCTGTTAAATAAAATAATTAAAGTTCTATCTATATGAGACCAAATCTTGGCTTCTTTTTGATAATTATTAATCACGCTAATCACGTTTGTCAAATTCTTATTTATAAAGGATATAATGATAGACAGACTTAATGCTGTTACATTTTTGTAAATGAAATTCTTGGCAGTGGATTTAAAATTTTAGAGATATTTTAAAATTTTATTTAAGATGTGAATTAATAATTCGTATTTATTAATTTGTACTTATTAGATATTCTAATAATATGGATATAAATTTTGTTTTTCCTTGCGTGGTTTCACTCTTTTTTCAGCTCAAACTTTATTTATTCTAGAAGTAAAACAATTTTAATTTCAGTGTTCATAAGGATTTAGTGCTTGAAGACAAAGCGATCAAGATTTGAACAATGTCTGGAGTATTGCATTCCTCTAAAGAAAGCCTCCTTCCATTGATATACCTAAAAAAAATTTAATAATTAATTATTTTTTTGTTTATACCAAATTTCTAATTTTAATTCTCTTGTACCTCAAGATTATTTGAAAAATTTCAGGTAAAATATTTGTAATTTAATGGATTTAAGGTGAAAAAATTCCATCATTTCTTTTTGTTAACATCAGTTGATAATATTCTTTTATGTGCGCGAAATTTTTTTATGTGAGGGTCGTTGCCAACTTTAAAAATTTATCATCATACATTATAGTCAGTATCATTAAAAAAAAACACAGAAATTTATATATCTGATATTGTATGTAAATTTAAGTTCCGATCATCCTGTCGGATATTTACAATTTTTTCAATCCACTTTATAACGGTCACAGGACCGAATTATTGATGGATGAAAATGGGCCACGTAAGTGTGTTATCGTTCTGACGTTTTTGATCATGCATTAATTAATAACATCATAAATAAGCTTTCTATAAATTTCATTTTTAATCCACTTTATAGCTTTATTTAAACTTTACCTACAAAATATTTCATTTACGCCATTTTTTTACTCCACTTTATTATATCAATCATGTGTTATTGCTATGGCTAATGAAAATATCGGTCGATGAAAATCTGTATGATTCTATTGGGCTGAACGATAACTTCATTTAAACTTTTCCTATAGAATTTAATTTACACGGAATTACAACATATTTTTTGCTCCACTTTATTATATCAATCATGTATTATTAATATTCCTAATAATATCGGTTTATGAAAATCTGCATGATCCTATTGAGCTGACGATAAAAATATTTATAGTAAATATAGAAATACGATGCAATAATTTTTTTATAAATTTAAATTTTAAATAATGCTACTACTACTTAAGAATCAAACGGTCATCCATTTTATTTTGTTTCATCAATAAAAGTGACTTTCCGTTTTACAAACGCAATGTCATTAATGGTTGAGAGGCTGGCGAAGTAGAAGTAATGGAAGAACTTCGTCGAGAGTCCGATGGCAAATTGTGGAATTAATAATTTTAGATCCAAAATGAATTAAAATATATATGTAGTATAATTTTGTGATATATAATTAATGAGATTGTAATAAAAAAAAATACATATTATATTTAATAAGTATTATTAGATTTGTTTATTTATTTATTTTTTTATTTGACAATATTCAATTTTTTATAACGAATAAATTTCTAATAAAAGTTGTTTTTATATGTAGTAATATCTAAAACTTTTAATAAATGAATGTAAGATACATCTTCTCCAGTAACACCATCAAAAAAGCTAGTGATTTTGTTACATATGGCGCAGTTTGTGGCAACTGATCTATTTAAATATTTATCGCATTTAAGCTGTTATTTAAGCTTTTTTTTGCGTCTACATTACCAAATACCAAGAATACAAATTTTTTTTTAAAAATAAAAGTTAGCTTATTTTCTTTACAATAGTTATAAAATCTTTTAAAACAAAACTTGCAGAAAATATGAAACATTAGGTGATGACATAGTTTATTTTTAAATTAATATATTTTAATAAATTGAAATTGAATAAATTTATTGTTAAATTAATATTACATTCTATTTTAATAAAATAATTACTCTAATTTATTAATTTCCACTTTCCTTCACTTTCACAAACTTCCACATGCCACAGTTATGCTTTTTATATTACTTTATTAACAGAAATATCTGAAATATGTCTAGGATTTTTTCACGATGGGACTTTCATACTGAACAAATTCTAAAATTTTGGATGACAAATTTGAACAATTCAAGTTATTTTTAATAGCATTTTTCTAAATATTCCTTTTATGGGACTTCCAGCATTTTTTTATAAGAGTCTCATATGATAGGATAATATATTTTATTAAATTTAAATGTAAAGATTTAACAAACAAATTTCCTAATACTGACAAATTATGAACCTGTTCAAGAAATAATCAAAATTTTTTTTATTCTAGTATCTAACTCCACCCCAGGTAATTGCTTCAAAAAGAAATGTAGATTTGTAACATAATATATTTTTATTCTTTTTTTAATATTTGTATCTACAATGTTTTTTCGTTAATTGTTTAATCATATCAAACCCAAATCTTTTTCATTGGTTTTCCTTCTTTATCTTCATTTTCTTTAACTTCTTCAATTAATAATTCATCATCTTCATATTTCTAAAATGCAAAATGAAACTAAGATAAAAATCTATAACATGATAAATAAAATAAAGACATACCTGTGAGATAATTTTTTCAACAAATTCTATGTCCAAAGTAAAATCTGGTAAAATATCACCACCGTCTAAATCTTCCCATTTATGTTTTTGACGGGTAACATTTTCATCATCATCATCTTTTTCATAAGTCCAGATCATGTGATTCCTTGGATCAATTAACCATCCCAACTTTACAGAAGTACCCGTTGCAAAGTAATCATTCTTGAATCTAATATCAACTTCATTAAATATTGCTTCCTTTGAAACATTTACAACCTCAGCAACAAATATGGGAGTAAAAGGTTGGCCAAGAAAAGTCAAAAGCTGGGTTTTATTAAGTGAACTATAAATATTTTCAGGTATAAAAGCAATATGTGGTGCTCGAATCTTCTTCTGGCCACTAACACTAAAATTATAACCTCCTTGAGATGTGGTAACAATACCATTTTGACCAGTTTCAACATTCCAGTTACCAAGTTGTCTAGAAATTTCATGTACAACAGCCTCATTAGCAATTGGAGATTGTGAAATAGGAAGTAGCCTTCCATTTTCAAAGTTAATATGAGTTTTAAGATGTTCGTTAATGTATTCAATCTCCTCTGGGGTGTAAATATGGGTAAGATCCAAATTTTTTAAATCTAGTGAAAAAGAAATTTATTGAGTAGTAAATATTTTTTATATTTGCAAGTTCAAAATAGTTTCTTCACAATTGATAAAAGCACTTTACCGATTTCCTTTTTTGGTGGCATGATTTAAGAAAGTTACTAAGAAAATCTTATTAAAAAAAAAAAATATTGACGAAATAGAAAAAAAATAGAAAAAACTATAGAAAAAATGTATAACAATTTATATAAATTTTTTTTTTCATATATATTTTTAATTTGATACATTTTTGGTTAAATAAGTATGATAAATTATGACAAATTTTTTGTAATAGTTTAATTTATGATGACACTCTGAAACATAAGATATAAATCACATGAAACACATTCCAAAATTCCTAAAATTATTTGTTTGAATCATTCATTTTCTTTGTGACATATATCTTTAAAAGTCAAAGGTCATGAAGTATTAATAATAAAATTTTTAAACATAAAATATACAGTAATTGAATAAAAATTGATACTTGATTAAGTTTTTTACAGCTTGGACTAAATTTAACAAAATTAATTTAGTATACTAATAATTTTGTAACTTCAATAACTAAAGTTGTAATAACGTCATCGGATATACTATTTATTTTTACATATTTACTTTACATAAAGTAATCTAAAAAATTCAATATTACCTAAAATTTTCTTACAATTAATTTTTCAGAAGAATACTAAGAATAATGTACTAATATATAATTCATATTTAAGAGTATGAAACAATTGAAACATGATTAATAAATTATATTCTAAAGTAACTACGCACAACACAAAAATTATTTTACTAATTATGATTAATTAAATCGTGATGAGTCATGAATCATGAGATTTATTCCCATGACGTCATATTTTAAATAATATAATTATCATAAATTTTCTAATGAAAAATGGTTTGTCATTAGGCGTCAAACCACAAAAGAAATATTATAAAAGGAGATGATTTTTTCAATCCAAAAAAAAAACTCTACTCATTAAATTTCTAAACTCTACAAAAATTCTTCACTCTTTTTTTAAAGAAATTCTTATTAAATTTCTAAACTCTACAAAAACTCTTCACTCTTTTTTTTAAAGCAATTCTTATTAAATTTTTCTAAACTCTACAAAAACCTTCACTCTTTTTTTTAAAGAAATTCTTATTAAATTTTTCTAAACTCTACAAAAACTCTTCACTCTTTTTTTTAAAAAAAAAATTCTTATTAAATTTCTAAACTCTATAAAAACTCTTCACTCTTTTTTTTTTTAAAAAAAATTCTTATTAAATTCCTAAACTCTACAAAAACTCTTCACTCTTTTTTTTTTAAAAAAAATTCTTTTTAAATTT